TTTTTGTTTCCCATACGAACTCTCCCCAACTGCAAACAACTAGCCTAAAAAAAAAAACAAATAGGTACTTTTATGCATGTAATGTTGCTATTTTACTAATTTTAGTTTAAGCTCTTTAGTTGCACTGGTAGAAAATTTTATGGGACATTTTATTTTAGACTCACCTACAAAATATAAACAAGTGAAGTACAGAGAGAAAATCAAATAAAAATCTATTTAAAAAACAGAAAAGAAAAGAAAACAACATGCCTTTTCGACGTGTTTGTCCACAAGAAAACCTTAGTGAGCTGCTTTTGACAATGCTGTGAAAATATGTGCTAGAAAAAACACAAGCTCCTCCGACTTGTTGGCGCATGCATTGTGTTCGTGAGCAAATGTTTTTTTTTTTCATTTATCGAAAGACCAAACTAAGTCTCATCCAACTTGACAATAATAAATAAATAAATAAATAACACCCTAAAAAAAAAATGAAAACAACAACTATATGATTTTGCTTTGGAGGATATTTTAGATATTATAATGTGCTTTCGAAATTGAAGATTCAAAAATACCCTTGTAAAAAAATTAATTAAATTTTGATTTGATGGTATTTGGGTCATTACACTATAAAAAGAAAAATACTGACCTACCCCTATTCAATCTTGCCATGATAAATGTGTCCAATGAATAAAAAGTTATATTACCCCCTCAAACCATATTATTCGGCTTTGCCTAAAAAGGGCAAATTAGTCTATTCATTTTGCAAGTTAACGTCTCGTGAAACACTAACCAGATTTAGTATTTTTATTATTATAATACACCACAATCTAATATAACACATCAATAACAATATAACAGTGTCAGGCTTGTAAAATTCACAATTTGGAATCTACATGAGAATTGTTTGCAGTCTAGAAAGTATACGAGATACGGCTATGCATAAAAAGCAATAAACTGAATATATAAATTTAAATGGTTTCAGGAATGGAGGCTTTGAGAATACGATATTAATCGTTAAGGAAAAAGTTTGAATTTTATATAAGAATACATACATACTGGTTATCCAATTGATGGAATCCAGCATGGGATCCCACGTTAAGATTATAATCAGCTGAAGACACGTGATATGCTTGAAATTTATTTTATTTTATTTCACATATATTAATTTTTTGGCTTTGAGAACCTCTGCTTTGTTCAGCATGATTAATTTGCGAGGCAAAACTAGTAAATTTAAGAACGTTTATCTTTCGATAAATGGTCGGTGGCTTCTGCCCTTATATATATATTGCCCCATGCAACGACTCACCTGCCCTTATATATATATATATATTGCCCCATGCAACGACTCAGTCCTTAACCTTTTTATAAATCCTAGCTCAAGCAGTGTAATAGTAACAAAGAGCTAGCTGAGGAGAGATACAGAATTCATGGATAGAGAGAATAATGGCTTCGCTTATACTGAATCTTATGACACATTACATGTCAAAGGGCTGAAGGAAGATCGTAAGGCAGCCAGTCATGATGCTAAGAGCACTATCCTATCTTCTTTGGCTGCTGCTCGTCAAATGGAGAATCATGAGCTTCATGGTGATACGTCTCTTGCAATTCCCGGATGGTATGTTGATGTTTCTCCTGGATATCCAGGTAATTAATGTGTTCTTCATCTGATAAGCTTTGTTTCGGGTTGAAAGAATCCTCTAGATTCCAAGGTGACAAAGAATTAATGCACTTCATTACATTTGCTCTACTTTAGATTTGGTTCTCTTTTTAGGTACAATAAACAGTTTATAAATGTGAGCAAGGGTTCAGCATGTTCTTTACTTTGCGGTGTGATGACGACTGTTAACTGTTATTGTTTGGATTTATCTGAGGTCATGCCATATCCTTCAACATGCACTATTCCCAAAGCATTTGGGAGGATACTTTGAAAAAGTAAAAATAAGAAAGGACTGAAAAAAAAAATTAAAAAAAAAAATAAGAAAGGACTCCAATTTGGGTGCATGAGTCCCACCCTTCTTCTTCTCTCTTTTCCCTGGATAAAAAGCATCCTGATAATAATTTCATTTAATTCATCGGCATTACTCTCTGAATTTTAACCTGATTTGACTAGAATCAAATCAAATTTAGGTAAGATCTGGTTTTGTTGGACTATAAAATTCGTCAGGTTTGTGTGATCCGACGAAATCGTGTGACCAAAACATGACGAAATCCATAAGATCTGTGGAATATCCAATCGGGAGAGTTAGGCTCAAGTGAGGGGTTTTTGTATCTAAGATGACCAAGATCTTCACTAGCTAGGCGCAATCTTTCCTTTTTCTTCAGTGTTATAAAACTGTTAATTTCTGTTATGAATTTCAGCCCAGAGTTTCTCTCCGACGCGCGTAGAAATTGTTTTCAGCTTTATTGTAGTTTAATTTTTGACTCCTCCTATTTTATTAAAAATAAATGTATATAAAATAATAAAAATGAATAATATATTAAAATTTAAGCAAGACAACATAAATTAAAGGTTTTGAGATTTAATTAAACTTTAAATTAGTTTTAATATCTAAATCAAGAATTTAATTAAAAAAATATCGAGGTTTGAGGCTGATTCCAAACGCCATGCCTTTATTATCATCTCCTTCATCCTGAGTAGGAGGGAACCGAGAGAAACTAGGATAGTAGATTTTTAAGGTCGTCGCAATGTAGGGTGTAACAGCTTTTCACAAGGATATATATATATATATATATATTCTTCATTCTTTTAATATTTTACAGGAGTGGCGTCCTTGTACAAGATTGAAAAGATCATGTTTCATGGGAAATCAGAGTGTAGCCAAGATCTTCTTGTATTTGAGGTACTAGCTATTTTTTTCGAGAGAAAATCTTTATATATATATATAGCTTTACATTTTTGCTATTAATTGCAAAATGTCATGTTTGATTATGATTGTAATTTTTGCTATTAACTGCAAAATGTCATGTTTGATTATGATTGTAGTCGTCAGCTCGTGGCAAGGTTGTTATCTTGAACGGCTCTCTTCAACTGGCGGAGATGGATGAGTTTGCTTACCAAGAAATGATAACTCACCTCCCCCTCTGTTCAATTCCAAACCCTAAGAAGGTACTTTATATTATTTTCATTCTTGCAGACAAAGATCATTCCATTAATATACTAAAAGGAAAACGTAGATACGTACGAGCTATTTGTTTTCTTATCAAAATGTATAAAAATATTATCGAGACTTTTTGCCAACTTTTTATTTATTTATTACTATCAAATGTTCTTTATTTAAATTATAAACTTATTTTAAAAATACAAAATATTAAAAAATATTAAAAAAATTGTTATTTTCTTATTAATTTATGCTTGATTGTATTATTTTACCATTTTTTTTATTTTTCTAGCAATTATTTTACTTTATTTTCAAAACCCTAAGAAGAGTGCTAGGAAAAAAGTAAAGTTTGCGTAAAAATTGTAAAATATCAAACATATAAAATCAAAGCTTTCGTGGAAAATTGAATTGAAAAACCATGTCTACAAAAAAAAAAAAGGGTCAGCTATATTCTATCAATAAATCAATAATTCTATCCTTCAAAATAAAGTAAAATAAAAAATACGTTTCATCAAATAAAGTAAAAGAGAAATTAAAAGCAAGTAAAAACAAAAACTTTTTCCATGTTAAATAAATAAACAGTTAGCAGTCAATTTCTTACGCCCAGTCGTTTTTCATATTGTGTTCAGGTATTGCTTATAGGAGGTGGGGACGGTGGAATTCTGAAAGAAGTATCTCGGCATGCTTGTGTCGAGCAAATTGATATTTGTGAAATTGACAAAATGGTGGTTGATGTGAGTCGTCGTCGTCGTCAATCTTTACAAATTTGAACAGATTTCTTATATAGCTGCTACCTCTCTGCCCCAACAGATTAATTCTTTAGTTTACATTCGGACCTCGTAATTTAGTGTTGTCTCGCTGGTCTCTCCCGAGAGTTAAGTTGCTGGTTCGGAGACACAAATAAAGACAAGTATTTGAGAAAGCAATGGTGTGTGTTCTTTCAGATTAGCAATGTCGTGTGTGATTGGTTGGTTGGTTTCAGGTGTACAGGCAGCATTTTCCTGACATAGCAGTTGGATACGAGGATCCCCGGGTGACTCTCCATTTAGGCGATGGTACACTGATGAAACTTGAATATTCTAAATTTATAGCGCTCGTCAATCTTTCTTTATAATTCCCCGTGTCTTTACAAATACCATGTACGTAGGAGTTAAGTTTCTGAAGCATGTTCCTCAAGGCGCTTACGATGCTATTATATTGGATGCTTTCCAAATGATGGGTATTGGTTCTCTTCCTCTTATCTAGTTACTGCAACTCTTCTTAATTTAAAAATATTGACGAGCTATTCTTAATTTCTGGATTGCATGCCATTATTAATAGGACCCGAGGCGGAAGAATTAGCTGATGATTGCTTCATGGAATCAGTTGCAAGGGCTCTTCGACCTGGAGGGGTCATGAGCTGTCCAGCAGACAGCTTGTGGCACCAAGAATTTTCCCTTGCAGATTTCGTAGCAAAATGCGGCAAGACGTTCAAAGGCTCTGTTAGCTACGCTTGGTGCACGGTTCCTTCATATACCAGGCATGAAATTGAACTGTTTCCAGCTTTGATTGATTCTATTTTAACACATTTGTGGAGTTAATGCGTTTCATTTCAGTGGGATGATGGGTTTCATGCTTTGCTCCACCGAGGGGCCACCAGTAGATTTCAAAAATCCAATAAATCCATTGAATCTGGAGCATTACGGTGTAGCTAAAGGCCCCCCCAAGTTCTACAACTCGGAGGTATTTGTTCTAAAACAACAGCTTCTTCTGCCAATGTTTTTCTCTTGATCTCAATCTCATTAATGTTTATTGACCTTGTTTTCAATTTCTCCTTGTTCCCACTGTAGGTCCATACCGCTGCATTTTGTCTGCCATCTTTCGCAAAAAAAAAGATGTTTGAATCCAAAATGAAAAAAAAATATGCTGCACTGCAGAAATGAATTAGACTTGGATCGCTCAAGGCTTGCTGAAGAACATTAGACTCGAATAATGGTTATTCAAGCAGTTGCTTCTGGTTTCTACTTTCCATGAATTGTGCTAGTATTAAGTTGTTAATGAATGGGAAATGTTTCGATTGATTCCCGTCAATCTATAGCACTACTTGCTATAAAATTATGGTATTTTGATAACAATAAAGAGCAGCAACAACATCAAAACTCTAATTAATATTTTCGGGGTACATTACTTTCCAGATCTGCTAACCAATATGATAGGGAGAGGCAACTTTCCCTGTCCAATAACTAATAAAAGCACCCCTAGAAGGTGGGTAATCAATATTTTCGGGGTACATTACTTTCCAGGTCTGCTAACCAATATGAGAGGGAGAAGCAACTTTCCCTGTTCGATAACTAATAAAAGCACCCCTAGAAGGTGGAAGAATTGATATGAAAATGGTTGAATATTTAAGAACAATGAGACTTTACATTGCTCCGCTGGAAAATCAAAGGTAAACTAGGGTTCCAAACATGCCAGGTGGTCAAACTAAAAACCAAATAGGGAGAAAGAGATGAGTGGCTAAGAATACAAGAACTCCGGGGTCAGCCTCTTCACCGACTACTGGCCGATGAGGATTCACCGTGTATATCCGGCTTCCTCACCATACACAATAGAGGCTAGCAGTGATCAGGACAATTTTCAATGACTGATATGATTGTATCCTAGTCGACTTTAAAGGCTTTACTCTGCATGCCAAAACATTTTGAGCAATACATGCATGTTAATGGCGAACAATACTTAATGAAAATCAACATGCCAGGCTCAAAAAATAAAGACCTGTTAAGATGAATAACGCCACCAACTAAGCACGCGCTCCAGAATCCAGCCACGAGAACAGCTAGCATCTGGATTGACAGGTGCTCCAGGTGCTCGATTCTTCCACCGCCCAATACTGCTCAATATCCAAGTATACAGTACTGACAAATGTCCATTTTCTTGTTCATTTTGACAGCCGGATTGACTGGTGCTCGATTCTTCCACCACCCAGTACTGCTCAATATCCAAGTATACAGTAGTGACGAATGTCCATTTTCTTGTTCATTTTGACAGCCAGATGTGGTCTGCTAATGGCACAAATAATTGACAAAAGTAAACGAATGAGTTGCACCCAAGAGGCATGAAGAAATTCAGGGGCGAACAAAACAACTGTTCAAGAACAAATATTATTCTAAGAAGACTTCTCAACAAGAAGGAAAAAAAAACCGAAGGTTGGGGCATCGCCATACACTAAAAGGAAGGAAAAAAAAAAAAAAACGAAGGTTGGGGCATCGCCATACACTAAAATCTTCAGGTTTACTAGGATGGAATTGCTAAATTTGTACTGCCCAACATTATTGGACAATCTAAAAAGATATACTCGAACAATGGGAGTAGTTGCAGCGGCAATATGAAAAGATCTGGACCATCAGGAAATTGCCACTTTCACCAAGACACAAGCTACAAGTTGCTGTAAAGATGCACTTACCTATCAGTAGGGCATTCCAGTTCATTTTCCTTCAATTGCCTTCACATGATAGCATTACAAGGCTCAGCTGATCATAAGAAAATTCGTACCACAACCCTTGCCACATCTAGTTACAGACAGCATTACTGTATTTCCTGTATCATTTGGCAGTATTTCACGTTTCCAACACATGAGAAATACTCAAATCTGTTGATCGAAATCTCTAAAATCACCAGCATCGATCGCACACGAAGCGCAGAAATAATGGAAAAGAAACAAAAATGCTAAGCTGAGAATAATAACATATGGACCACTAGAATTCACCCCAAACAAGTGATATAGGAAAAGGTGTGATAAGCATCGAGGAGAACTCCAGGAAAATTTGAAGAAAAACAATAGTAATAATTTTTTTCTTGATGTTATTCCGAGTCTATAAATTGTTAATATTACTACATATTTATTACAAGATTTATTAGTAGACTGTATTATCTCTCATCTTTAATATAATTATGGAGTATATATCTTGTTTTGGTAGAACCAAATTTTACTGAAATATTATTTTATAATTATTAAAATTCAAAATTGATTTAAATAAAACACAAGAAGTGTATAAAAATTGAAGTGGTCAAAGTTTTAACTACTCTATTATATTTTTTATATATAAATATAATATTTGGAAACAAAAAATTAAACATAAAATGTAGTATGACCAAAATTGTTTTCTCTGAGAAATTAAATTTGAGTATTATAGGTAATGATTAAAATAAAAATAATATTTGATAGTCATAATTAATTACAAAGGTAAGACTTTCTATGAATTATATTTTCTAGATATAAATATGAGATAGTGGCATAAAAAATGTAGTCTTCTGTATTGTTTCTCTTTCACTTTTATTTTCTAATTAGCATAAAATTTTTAGTGTTATTCATCCTCCATGAATTGTTAATGTCACTCCACATTTATCACAAATTTGATTAAAGACTACATTGCCTTTATCTTTTAATATATTTATTTTGTTTCTTAATTTTGACATAATCAAATTTTATTAAAATAATTTTTTTCTAATTAATTCAAATAAAGATTAAAAAGTATATAAAATATGTAGTTTTAAAACTTTTAATTAAAGTGTTGTATTTCTTAAAATAAATATTTTTATTAGTGGACCAAGATAAAATAAAATATAGTAAAAGAAAAAAAAAAGCAATTAAATTTAGTGATAAGTTATAATTAAAAAGGGTAAGATTTGACTATCCAAATATAGAAAATAAAAAATATAAGTTACAAGATAACCTACCCATTTCACCTATAACATGTTGCCATTATAGTTTAAATGTAAATGAAGTTATAGTATATACAACTTGATAAGAAAAATAAGAGATATGTGATAAAATAAAAGGGAAGAGAGAAAATAGAGAAAATGTGGAATGTGGTGTGCTTGGAAGTTGAATTGATAGGGCCTTGTGCCTATGGCCCGATGTAAATGGGTCTGGCCTCTTAACAAGGATACGGCCTTGGGCCTATAGCCCGCTTTAAATGGATCTGGCCTCTTAACAAGGATAAGGGATTGGGTCATGGAAATTGTAACGAACAAGAGAAAGAGAGAGAGAATAAAAAAATAAAAATGTTTATAGAAATTCGGTGGAGGCCACGTGTTTCAACATTTTTCACTTTTAACGGATAAGGACTGAAGACCCACGCCTCTCTCCACGACACCCCGCCATGAAACACGGCTGCCCGGATAAGGCGGGTCCCACAATTTTCCAAGATGATTGCATGAAGAAACGTTTTTATCCACGGAGACCCCTTGTATTAAAATTAGAAGATTTTACAAGGTATACGACCTTAAATTTAAATCTCAATAATTAAGAAGGCAGAATACCCTCTTAATTATCAAGCCCGTCAACACAGGAGTGCGCGAAAACTATAGGCAAACACGCTTAATGATTAAAAAAATCATTTTCCATTTAAGTACATGGTTTAGTTAGGACACAATTATAATCACAGATGATAATTTTATGCATGCACTTAATTAAATAAATAAAAAATTATATATAAATTTTTTTTAAAAAGTCATTGATAAGAATTAAATATTAAATTAAAATATATATATATATTAAGATGTATGATCTTGTAACGGGGACAATAAATCTAATTGTAGTTGTGTTGAATAAATTTATTTTTTATTGAATCAATTGGATAATTATAAAAAAGAAAACATTTTTTTTATAATTTAAAAAAAAATCAATAATTTAATTTATTTAAAATAAGATATTTTAAAATGATAATATATTTTTTTAATATAATTAATTTTTTATTAACCAATACAGATTTATAGTGACCAGAATATCATGTGTCACGTTTTAACAAACCTTAACCCCTCTCAAAATATTTAAAAAGACTCATATTTTATGGATATGGAAGAAAATATTGTTTGTTTATCGCGATATCTAGTATAATAATTACTAAAATAAAAATAAAAACAAAATTACATTTCTAATGTTTTGTATAAATTCTCTATATTAATCAATCAAAAATTCTTTTATAGTCAAAGTAGTCTAATTATTTTTGGAGAAAAATTGTACTAGCATCCAATAGTTTAGCCAAAAATAGATTTACCTATCAAGTTTTGAAAATTTATAATTTACATCATAAACTTTGATACATATATAATAGTTTACGTTATCCACCTAGAGTGCCCAAAATTACCAACAAAAAATATATGATTATTTCCTGGTTTATTATAATTTTTCATTTAATAACTAAATAACCCTTATATTAAACACTACAAATCGATATTGAATAAAAAGTCTTCAACATTACAAATTTGCAATTGAATAAAAAAACACCACCCCTGTGTGAAAAACAAATAAAAATAAAAACCTTCATTGTCTTCCCAAAAGACGAGCCACCACCCACCATAACCAACCCTAGCCTCCATCTACCACTCCCTCCACCGTCTCTTTCTCAACCTTTCAACTTCTCACCAAAATCTTTTGATCTCCACCAACCACCACCAGCCTCCACGACTCTATGTGTGAGATGTTGGCAGAAACCAACTTTTGTCAAATGTGCTTCCCATCGCATGCTCTCTGTTCTTTTTTACTTAGTAATTACAAGACGAAGACGATATACTACAAAACAAAAATCAATCAATTCAGCGTTGATCAATGCACCATTTTTCCTTCGGCAAAAGCTTCCTATTCTTTTCCTTCATTTTGATGACTTGCCACAAATATTTCATGGAAAAGAGAGCGCCTACTGAACGTTGCATGGTTGGTGGGGATGGGTTGAGCACGTGACCCATCAATAAAATCAAGTTTGCTTATATTTCAACTAAAACTAAGTTTTTTTTTTCTAAAAAGAAAAAAAAAAGTTTTATTTGACATTGTAATCAAACCATGTATTTAAAAAAAATTATTTTTATTTTTATTTTAAATTTAAGTTATTTTTTTAATCATTTTGATGTATTGATATGAAAATTAAATTTGAAAAAATATATA